CCATAAACCCACTTAATTGTCTCTTTTCTTTAAAAAAATCAGCTATCTTTGAGTGCAAGGCATCTTATAGCCTTTTGCCATCAGTAGAAATTTAAATATTTATATTTCTTCTAATCATTGGACCACAGACACAGATCTCCCAGAGCAAAGCAACTCTTTTTCTCAGGAAATGTGTTGCTGTTTTCCAAAGTAATTCAACAAAGACTGAATTCAAAATGAATACAGCAGAATTTCAGATTTGCTGATTAGCAAGTGTTTATTTGTTCATTATATTGAACCAAAAAACTCTGCATTAACTGCAGACTTTCTCCCATAGTAACAGCAATATACACAGTAGGGAAAATTACTATATACTTGATTCTCTCAGTAAGTTCTTAAAATAAGCTCTGTGTCCCTAAACCTATGTCCAGTGTGAAAGAAAAAAATGGGTAGACAAGTATATGAAAAGCCACTTTATTTTTCCAGCCTTCACCTCTAGAATATATATTGGTGTTTCTTCTAGAAAACTGGCAAATCCATAAGCAGGTGGTGTGTGAAGCACAGTCCAACAAAGCAACTTTCATTTATGTCTGTCTGGGAAATTGTGTTTTAGAGCTATCTGCCTTCTCACTTCCATTTCTGTCCATGGAAATTTCTCTTTGTGGATTTTAATTTTTAAAATATTATTCACATTTCTTCCCATTTGATCATACTGACAACCTTGTGTTTTCACAGGTCAATAAAACTTTATTGATTCTTATTCAGACTGCAACATGTAGCAAGACAACACCTTTAGCAAACAAGCAAGAGCCTTCAAACATGGTTTGAAGCATAATTTCAGACAAAAGAAATCCCTTTGTTCTACCAAAGCTCTGTCATTATCTCAAAATTTGGATTTTGATTTACCAGTACCTACTTTTAAAGCCAGTGTAGAACACTAAATTAAACAAAACACTGGTGCCAAGTTACTACGTATCAATGCCAATTGTTAAAAATTCTTTTAAACTCAGTTTTCAACTTGATCCATATGTAAGGCATCATTGAATTACTGATTGCTCTCACTTTTAGAGGAACTGTAAACTCATACCCTGACCACCCACAGTTCCACACCTCCAATCATAACATAGCTAGCATCTTTTCAACCCGGTTCTTTGATAACCTGCACATCCAAAATACAGCCTGTCACCAGTCACCAGGCTTTGGGCACATAGTGCTTTAGGCAGCACCACTGTGAAAACACTGTGACTAGAAAGCCCAATAAAATTTGTATTTTGATAACAGTTTGCAACAGAAAATTGAACTGGAATTCTATAGACATTATGTTGCCAAATTTTAAACGTCATGACAGAGATGACACAGCCTTCTCGGAGTCTGGATGTGTGTTGCGGGTGGTGAGATGTGGGCTTGTTTGGTGTCTCTAATTTTTTAATTGAAACATGGGAAAATAATGAGGACTGCTGTAAGATTCCACACAGATTTTGACAAAGCCCTGTGGAATGCGATCTCTCCTTTTCTTTAGCTATTGATGCCTATTTAGATGGTGCTTGTGTCACACTTACACCTCTACCAAACCCTTGCTAGGTCAGCAAAACAGACTTTTTTTTCTTGGATTTAGAAGAATGCTCTTGAATCCCACCTGGAAAGAGCTATTTTTTTCTCCACAGTTAAATGTATGTATATCATCATCAAGGAATGCTCTTCAGCATCAAGGACAGAACATTTTTACTTCTTGCCTAGCACGTATTTGATTCACACTTTCATATATTATATATTAAAACCAAAATATCCTATCATCTGGGTAAGAGTTATCAAAAATATTCAGAAAATGAACAGAGATCCATTTCTTTTCTGCATCTGCAGGAGCTTTAACAACTAATGGTGAAGGGCTGCTTTAAATTAGACCCATACCCATTATTAGCTTTCAGGTTTTAACTTGAAACATCAGCTTTAAAATCATGGGGATTTACTTTGTGGTGTATATGCCTTTATATTTATAGTTAAGACTATGCAGACAAACATCAAATAGCCTCAGACGTTGACTAAATTTATACTTTATTGCAAATATCTTTGCAAGTCATTATGTTCAAGCTCCACCACCACTTTGGGAAGCAAACCCATAAAACATCTATGAGTGTTCAACTTGCCGCGTGGAGTTACAGAACATTATATTAGCATTATATAATTTTTAAAAAAAGTGTTCAGTCTAATTACAGTTGAACTGTTATTTTGCCTTGCTATGTTCTAATGGTGTGCTTGTTAATTTACAAGAACAGATTCTATTTCATTGCTCCCAAATGCTTCAAAGATAAACATTAAGTCAAGTAAAAAAAATTCTAGAATTTGAAACCTTCTAATATTTTCCATTAGTCAGTGCACAACTTTCTTTGCAAAAGAGCTGCCCATTTCCTTCCCACACTGTGCAATCCACATGTTTACATCTCTGAAGTTAGCATCTATCCTCTTCTCTTTGGCAGCTGTGAAATACATTGCACCTTTGATCTCACAGATAACTGTCATTCCCAACAGATACTGACATGAACCTTTTCCAAGAAGTTATGTTTGTTGTTTTTTGCTCTAAAAAAAAAAAAAAAAAAAAAAAAAAAAAAAAAAAAAAAAAAATTTGTTAAAGCCAAGGCATTAATGACACTGAACAGATCTCACAATAACATTACCTTTTATTAGAGATCTTATTTTACATATCCCCATAAGATATAAAAGAGAAACCTTCCAAGAGAAAATATCAAAAACCTTCAGCTGAAACCAGTTTGTTTCACACAATATGAGCAAGTAAACCAAAGAAAATTAAGATAAAGGAATGTAAAAAAACCCCAAACCATAAAATCAGAACAGGTACAACTCTTGTATGGAAAGTAATTACAAAGCTTTAAACAATTTCTTACATAGCATTGTATTTAAAATCATACTGGCAAGGTAAAGATGCTTGCTTCTCTTAACCAATAGCTACAAACCCAGCAGCTATAAAAACAAAAAAAAACCCAATATAATAAAATTGAATTATATGGCCAATTCACAAAAAACCAGCATGAGAATTCATTAAGGCTTGTGCAAAACAAAAATCCAACAAAAACCCAAAGCAAGGAAAACACAACCTCATTGACAGCAATATTCTGAACCAATTCAAGTAAAATCCTTTTTGAGACTTTGACTGGAGTTTTGATTTAGTAAGGAATTTCAGGTAAGGATCTTGAATTGAAAGCTGTCATTACACAAAAAAAAAGCAAAGGAACAACAATTACATCTGCTGATTAAGGAAGATTCAGGCACCATGATTGTACAGCTGATGACAAAAGTAAAGAAACAATGCTATATGAAGAATCTTTCAAAGCAATTCCAAGAGGCAAACCACTTTAAAATTTTATTGCATCAAAATTTTCCTTTTCTGCCTAGCAAAACCGAAACAGTATTTTGAATGTCTTCCCGCACAGAACACATAAAAGTATCTTAAACATTTTAATTCTGAAGAAGCCACAAAATAAGTGTTACGAGAAGCTGGCAAGTCTACTAAGCTTTGATTTCCAGCAAAAACCAGCATTTTCAAAATTTTTTTTCTAAGAAGTTACAGTACATGTTTATTGCATGAAAACATCCATTTATTGGATTTATCTGATTCTTCCATTTGTGGTTAGTGATTCCTATATTTTTCATGTAACTTGCACCAGATCCTACTAAAGTGTTCCCATTATTACAAAACACACAGCAGATTGAATTAAGAAAATCTACACAATCTCAACAGAGATCCAACCTATGACAATGCATAAAATCTAAGTATTACTTTCATTTTCTTTTTAGATAGCCTGTAGCTACATTAAATAATTTGATAGACTTTGATATTTGATATAATTGTTGAACAACAATGATAAAATTAAATACAGGAGGCAATACTAGAGCTAACACATCTTTTTACCAATTATGATGACTTTTCATGCATTAGTATTGAGGATAAGCAACAGGGTATTGAAAAGTAGAGCATAAGCAAGAGATAGAAGAAAGAGCTATGAAAATAAGTGACAACTATGAAATGGGATCATACTCAAGTGAATGTTTATATATATTAACTGTAAACAGCAGCTCTACTTAGGGAAATACTTTCCACACTTGGATGGCTTAAGTACTAAATATGAATTAATATGGGAAAAAGCAATGTCTCCATTCTTCAGTAACATGAACACTGGCAATGTGAGGTTGTAAGTTTGTAAAATGTTGTTTAAAATATAGGCACATGATTTGGAATTAACAGGTCACCACAGTCTGTGACATGCAAGCACATGTTTTGATGGGTTTGCAAACTGTATCTTGCTTACTATCAACTCTTTGCATCAATTTGCAATTTTCTTGAAAGCAGCTGAATTTAGCTTCTACAACAATTCTTTTTTTGTTGGTGTTTCACGTCATAACATCATATTAATACATTCAAATAGTCAAAATGTTCAGAATAAGGTAGCACAAACTTGGTGCAGGAGTACATAGATCAGTGTGGCCAGCATTGTCAAATAGGAGATACACAGCTTAAGTATTATATAAACTACCTTTTCCCCAAAAACATTAACATAGACACCAAAATTATAACAAGACATATCAAAAATAAGGCACATTTATTTTGATATGGTAATCTTGAAATAGAAAACTCATTTCAGAGAACACTGGTATCTAAATGAGTTTTATAAAAAATGTTGTATTCATGATAATTATGGACATTTCTCATCATGGTAATGGAATAATTGCACATATCCCAGTGTGTCAAGTAACAAAATGGGAGTTTTATTAAACATTTCCATTGCAAAATTACTTTGTAGGTTCAGGTTTTTCTATTTACATAACTCAGGTGAATGGTAGAAGTATTAAAATCTACCATCACTTATCACAAGTACTGCAGGCTTTCATTTTACCACAATTAATAATCCCCTTTGTGTTGAATAAACTGAATTAATTGCGGAATAAATTGAGATTATTGTCATTTATATAAATGATTGCAAATATTTGGACATTAGCTACTACACAGGAAAATTTTATTCCATTTTATTTCCAAGCTGCATCAGGACTTTTTACACTGATTTATTCGCACATAATTTCATCAAGAATCAGGAAAAGAAGGCTGTTTAAAATCTAATCCCCTGTTTATGAAAATTAAAACACCAGAAACATCATTAATTAGCATATAACCTGAGATTAAATCTGCTGAGAGGTTAACATTCATAGAAATTTCTTCATTTGTTGTATTAACTGAAGATGGTGATACTATTTTATGGGGGAAAATATCCGAACAAAAAAAAAAAGTTGCTTGCAACATGGCTTTTCATTATGTTGGTCAAAAAAAAAAAAATAGAATGCATCTTTTTCTCACAGTATCCAGAAGTTGGAATAACATTAATGTGCCTCTTATTGCACATGAAACTCAGAGGAGATACAATTGCAAATTCTTCTTTATCTGAGTATTAAAGCAGGATTTCATCTCAGCCGAATCCGGAATGTATTTATCTCCATAGAACTCATATTTATTTCACTTATATTTCTGGCATCTGGAGGTGAATTCATCAAAGATAAAGATGTGGGTGTAAGACTTTCCACTCTGAATTTGCTAAAGAGTTTATGCACCTTTATCTGGAGGGAAGAAAACAAAACAAAACAAGACAAAAAAAAACTACATTTAGAAAAAGCAGTAAATACCTTAAAATTGTACAGCTCCTTGCAGGAACCAGAAATTCTCATGCTCAAGATTTTGAATATTTTTAAATGTCATAGATTAAATACTGTACAATAATTTAGATCTTTTTAGACAGTAGTCACTCACTACGTTTCAATATAATTTAATTAGTATATTCAAAATTACTAGAAATATTTGGATTTGAACCCTTCTTGTTTCCAAATAATGCAATATTTACTCTTCCACCCAAAAGAAAATCCCAAACCTATTTTAAAATTCCTATAGATTAATAACCATACCTTTCCCTGAGTGGTAGAACAGAGCAGACCCGTGTCTCTGTTTGAAAATTTACAATCAAATCCCTTTCTATGAAGAATCAGAGCAGCTTCATCAGACGGTTTGGTATCTACCTAGAAAGAAACACTATAGAAGATTACTCACAAAGTATCAGTCAGGAAGATATTTTAGGACACCAAAAAAATTGTCCTTATCATACAGTGAATAGAGACATTTACATCTTAAAAAATGTTCAGCCTAGTTTGAACTGTCATGCCTTTTTTTTAGTTTTTTAAAGCTAAACATAGAAAGAAGTAAATGGCAAAGAGCTGAAACATAAAATGTACTACAGAATATAAATATAAGTTATTGAATTTAAAGGCCAACAGATGTACATGTATACGACTTAGGACTGAATGTAGCTATCATACCTGTATTAAATGGTTCCCCACAAAAATTACATAGCAAAACAGAAAACAAACTAGAAGTCATACGTTAACTGCAATACTCAGTTTTACATATTCAATGGCATTATGTTGAACAAACTTTCACAGAGCAAAAATGCTCTCTAACTCAGCTTAAGTGTAGAGAAAAATGTACACCGAGACACACATATGAAATAAATGTTATCTCTAAGATATTCAGTACTTTTGAGCCTCAAGAAACATCAAAGAGTAAGCTGCTCCTCACTGGATTTGTGCTCCCGACCCTTCTCCAGCTCCACTGCCCTCCCCTGGACATGTTCCAGTCCCTCAATATCTTTCTTGTGGCTGCACCCCGACACACACTGTAGTCATTTATTTAATATGATGCATTACTTTCTTTCTTTAATTATTGCTGGTTTACATTCTTCCGCTCTTAATCTTATTATATATATAATAAGAGCATAAAAAAGATGGTTCTATCCAAAGCCATGCCGGTTATTCAGGCTATTTTTCTCTTATTTATTTCTGGTTTACTTGTTCTTACACTGGTGCTTTTTCACAAAAGCAGCTGTCATGAGTTAGGTTCATTTCTGGTACTTCAGAATGTATCTATTGCTTGGAGAAATCAATGCCCCAACAAGCATTAGGCACTCTGTGATGCATTAGCTCCTGAAGGTGTACCAAACAAGAGGTCTTAATCTAGCAGATCCAAATTTCTTTTCATAAAGGTCATCACTGATCAGCTTGTACCAACTTCTTTGAAACCCAGCGTGACAAAGAATCAAAGTACAATAAATTCATAGTATAAAGTACTCATTCATATAAAAAAAAATTATAAACTTTGTGGGTTTAGGCTCCTCATTTAAAATAGTAAAAATTTACTCAATAGTATTTGGAGTTGAAAGTTAGATATTTTTTGGTAAAACACTAACAGTTAGAAACTTTGCATAGTTTACAAATCATAAATAAAGCTCTGCTTCAAAATATTTTGTGAACAATAGCTTATAACCACTAAAATCAGCTTTTTAATTTATGAATAGTGCCTACATCCAGCATATGAAAAAAAGTTTCCAGTATTTATTAACACTGATGGCTAAAGAAATTCTTATCCTGTTCACTGGGACAGCAGTGCCACTTTCTATATGAAGTGAGGTAATAGCTGTGATATTTTCCCCCTCCTACTATGAAACACCTGACATGATTTTCATTGTCACTCATGTGACAGTGTTGCATTTAAAAGTGGATATTTTTAAGCACACAAAATAACACTGTCTGCTTAAACATCAGATTAGTGAAACATTAAAATTCATACTAAAAAGCCTGACTTCCTATGGGGTAAATTAACGTTAGAAATGACAAGCCAGTAATGGGTATCAACACTTCCTCTAATTCACTTAAATTATCTTCTAGTAATCTGCATAAAAAATGCATGTATGCATTTCAAATGATAGCATGAATATTTAATCTCCCAATTTTTTAGAGTTAAATATTATCCTTATTAAGATTCAAAAGATTTAAAACAAAAAGGTAACACACAATTAATGATACCCTGAGAAAAAGTGTTTTGGTCAGTATAAATATCTATTATTTAGTATTCCATCTTCTACCACCAACATATTTTTTTACTGTGTAAAAAATAAAGCTGGTGTAACCCATTATCAAAGCAGGTGAAAGATTAAGTTGCCACAGCCTCCACACCTACTTTAACTTACCTGTTCTTATATCATCTCTAGGTAAATTAGATTAAATACATTTAAGGTTTATGAATATCTGAGCAAAGATGAACTTAATTTACACCAAATGCACCCTCCAAACATGACAATCCCAACTGCATGAAAACCTGTAACAATCTCCTCAATTTTCAACAAGTTACAACATTCATAACATTGTAAAACTTCACAGCACTGTTATTTAACAAAAAAGCCCTAAACACTGTGCTATTAAATCTCTAACAAGCTTTCTTAGAAGAGCTGCCAAAGTTTGATTTTGATCTCTGAGAATTAAAATGAGACCTTATAAGAAAATTTAAAAAAAAATAAAAAATTGTTAGGTTTCTCATAACCAGTATCCCAGGGCAATGCTGCTAAAATTTTGATGAGAAAGCAAAAAACATTTAAACTCTTTTAAAAGTCAATTACTGTAAGCTAATAGACACACACTGAAAAAATTAGGTAATATGGTAAATTTATGTATTTATGCTTAGTATAAAGGGACAAAGCTACTGTGTTCTAGATCTTGAATCCCAGTTTATTTACATAAGGTAAAATATGTGTCTTCTCGAAAGCTGGAATTCTGTTAGAAAAAAAAAATCTTTAAATGTTGTAATCCTAATGGATTGGACTCTTCCATGACAATAAAAACAATACTTACAACAAAAACAATGTCTTACAACAAAAACAATATTCTTTCTGATTTATACCTTAAATATAAGAAATATAAGAAATATAAATATAACAATTATTTTAATTTGGTACCCTATCATCTGTAATTGTAATGGATTATGGAAAATCAACTTCAACAGTTTAAGCAATGGAGAGGCATAAATTTTTGGAAAAAATTTCATTGTGTCAATTAGCCAGAATTATGTCACTTGTCATTCAAATTCTTGGAAGCAAGAGAAAGGAAGCAGAAAATGAGGAGAGATTTACAGAATTATTTACAAGGCATAGCACTATTTTTGCTGTAGGGAAGAACATTCTGTATCTCTAATGACAGTGTTCCTATCCTGTGACTGCTGCAAGCTCTCACTTTGAAGTGGACACATTAATGCTGCAAGCTCAAGAGCTGTCAATCAGTAATCAATGAAACACAGCTGTGGACAAGGAAGAGCTCACAGCCTCAAACAGTCCTATATCAGTTGGGACAGTGGGGCCTGAACAGTCCAGATAAAACCAGAGAATTCACTTAGAAGTAGTAACATTGAATTCAAAAAGCAGACACTGAGCAAGCCTGTCTTTTCACAGCTTTCATACACAGATCATACAAACAAGGGGATAGATTTACACCTCAAAAAGAGAGGGCAGATGCTCATGAAGGTCTGCCCTTGAACTTGGTATGTTGAAGTAAACCTGTGATGCTGAGCTGGTTGAAGTAAATTAAAATATACACAATAAAGTATGAAAGTGTGAAATATTCACAAGATTTAATTTAGTATCAGGGTCTTCCTCACTTTTCAAAGGCACAAGACCCATAAAATCAAGAAATCTTCCACTTTGAAATTCAAAATAAGAATCAGTCACAGCTGAAGGGACTTACACAAGATTGAACTACTTACACAGACAGCACAAGAAAGCAAACATTGTTGAAGTTTTAAAATACAGATTAAAACAGAATGAAGATCAGATTAAACAGAATGAAGATCAGATTAAACAGAATATAACCTCATGTTAATACAGACACGCCCAGCCATCATGGAGACTCTAGAGGAAAAGGGATAAATAGTTTGTATCTAAGTATGCCAGAATTGAAAAGGGATTGCACTGCGCTAGCAGCACTGATGAACAGCACTGCAATACAACATAAAGTTAACATAAGCACATTTTTAAAGGAGCTGAAAAACTGAAAAGAATTTCTAGAACAGTTGGCAGGAAAAAATGCAAAATGAGTTCCAGTCATTCAGCTAATCAAAGGGAAAATTAAATTCTGGTGGTTACATACCTTTCTTTCCTTTGAAGGAGAAAAACACTGAGTACAGAAGAGCCATTTTTTGTTAGTATTTTTTGTTGGTATTTTGTTTGTTGGTTTGTTTTTTTAGTGTTGGCTAGATGGGTTTTAGTGTTTGGGTTTGTTTGTTTGGTTTGGTTTTGGTTTGCTTACCAGAGAATGTTTTCACAGGAACCTATCATGAGCTGCTGTTAGAATAAGTAAATTAGATCTTGTAGCTAAGCTTAAAAACATTTTAACAAAAAAATTTGTGTTTAAAACTATATTCTTTATTAAAAACATACTCAGAACAAAATCTAATGACCTTAAATTCAATTCTTCTAGTATAGAAAAGGCTGAGGTATGAATGGTTCTCTCTTAAACTTTGGGAAACTATTGAAAGGTACCCACTCCAGAGACAGAATCTTGCATTATGCATACTAATATGTTGTGAAAAAACACAATCCCTTCATTTCTTGTTACTCAAACAGACACAAATCTCTAGTTCTTGCAATATTAAGAAAAGCTCATAATCACACTGCAGTTTATCATATCATATAAACCCTCTCACAAAGTACTTTACAAGAATAAATTATTTTACTATATCATTAAGCTATATCATATGTTTGCAGTGGTTTGACCTTACTTTTGCTTGGATTGTCCTCAGATTGACTATATGCATGTCACAAGGCATGGACGACATCAGCGGAGAAAAAGTACTTATCAACTCTGGGACACCTGAATCTGCGTTTGTTGTCATTGGAATTACAGGATGGTTTAAGAAGAGAGAAGTCATATGGCTAAGAAGTGATGGAAAACTGACTGGTGCCTTCTCTTCATTCTGCAAAATACCAGAAAATTATTCAAGTTAACATACCATCATGTCTAAATTTTAAAACCCACTTACTTTATACATGATTCCAATAATTACATAGAAAATTTTAATTTTTAGACCACCCATTCAATTACTTTTGGAAAATTTTGATCATCCACTAATTTTCTTCTATTGATAGGTATACTTGCTGTTTCCATAAACAATAACCTTTCCAAATTATTATGACACATAATTTTACAACATTCTTTGTGTTTCTGCGTTAGCCCCTGATGTTTGAACAATACAGTTTGGAAAAAAGAAATTAGTTACTACTTTAGCAAGTTGCTCGTATTTATCTCTTTGTATATGGAGAGGCAGAGAGTGTCTTGCAGGCCTCCTTTTCCACATTATTTTCTTGCTTTCCTCAACTTGTATCCCAAATCCCTCTTTCTAATTTAAATCTATTTCTCTCAAACTATTACTGGAAGAAATTGCAACAATCATCTTTGTCTTGGTCTGCATTGCAAAAGATTTCTTCCAGAAATTTTATTTCAATGTCATGCCAGCAGGAATCAAAGGTATTTTATCCCAATATTTTACAAATTTTGTACTTTCCAAAATTTCTTATTTGAGGTGTTTTTACTTGGCTGCAGAGGCTGCCTTACAAAGCTGAGATGACCAAATCTTACATATTCACAACAACCAGTTAAAGCTCCAGAGAAGCTAAGAAAAGAAAACAAAAGAACTTTAAACAGGCAATTTCTATTTTAGAATGTCAGTGAAGATAAGAGTAGAAATGGAAGTGAAAACTTCTTTTGCTCTTATTTTTCCCTTGCATACTTAATCAGATAAACCCCTGCTTGTTGGTGATATTTAGCAAAAACTTTGTAGAAAGTTTATTGAAAATGTAGTATCTTAAGCACTGTTACATTACTTTTACATTTTATGATAAGCTGGAAACACTTTATTAAGAAATAAAAAACAAATGGGAGACACTTAAAGCAAAGGGGAAGATTATTTTTCAGCTTATAACAGAAAACCATAACATAATTTTTATTTTATGGGTTGTGTTTGCATATATGCATATTTATTTATATTTCTGCAGTAGCATGAAATACAGCTGACAGTGAAGAAACTGAAAATATTCCAGGCCTGAATCAATGAAAGATAGTAATTTCTGTTTTATTCTTGGTACTTTCCTCAGTAACACTCTGGCTCTTTGGTATCTACTAAGCATTGAGGCTTAGTGTTTTTAAGCATCTATTATGATCCCCAAATGATAACAGTGGATCATTGTAAAGGATTGCTTCTCCATGCATCTCATTGCATTTATTTCTGTTGAATTCCATCTGTCATCTTATGGCATATTTAATCAGTATTGAGTTTTCTAAAGTTCCGTATCACTGGTAGACTTCTTTGCCATGATTTCCTTCTATTCTAATAACAGTATGAGCAAGCTTGCTCTATGCACAGCTTAATAGAAAAGTCTTCCATTCAAGTGCCTGAATACATGCTCTAAAAATGTGCAGTTCCCTGTTCTTTCAAATAAGAGTTCATTTTTTCACCCCAAAAGGAACAGTGTTCACTCTGTTCACTGCCATAGAAGTGCTGAAGTCAGTCAAAACATTTAATTGCCATTTATTTCCTCATCTTCCACCTTTTTTTTCCCCTGTGTAAAGTAAGTTGATTGCTTGCATCTGAGAACTTAAAATCAGGTCTTCTAAAACATCTTACAAACCACACATGAATCAGAAAAATAATCTATTCATCCTTTTATACTATTTAAAACAAAATATTGCAGATAAGCACAGCCTTGAAGGACTGGCAAATGCTACATCCAGAACTGATTCAACTTGGCTCATTTTTGCTCTCACTGTGTCTAAATGTGTTATTGCTGGCAGGAACATTGTCCTTATGCATTATCCACTTTGGAACTAAGTGGAGATTTTATATTGAGTCTTGTATTCCCACATCTGGAATGACAGTCAGTTCTGGATGGTTGCACCAGCAGAAAAAGTGCAGTCATTCCCTGAATCTGCGTAACAGCAATGGGAATGGAGCATACAGAAGGCGTCAAAAGCTGCCAGGAGACCAAGGGAAAATGCTTTCACAGAAGACTGAGAAGGGACTCTTCAAATCACACTCTCCCCTAGGTATATCACAATCATGCAAGGGTTGGAGCATGTCTTTTCCCGCAAGTCTAGTGATCCAGAATTTAAACAGGACTGTCTGGAAAGAGAGATGAGAAAGGCTTGCACACAAACAATGTAATGGGAAGAATATTTGCTCTATGCACAACTTCACCATGTGGATGGCTTTCAGCCGTGCCCTGCTGATGCGCATCAGAAGATGCAGTCCCACAGTCTCCATCTAATTAAAGTATTGCTCTCTCAAAAGTGACATCATTTTCTCAATTTCCATGGCAGCACTTATTACTCAAAGTGTGAGTGGAGCTCCTCTAGCTGCCTTACAAACATTAAGTACTGGCAAAAATCTGATGAATGCCAGATGATGTGCTGGCTTAATAAGTTCAAATCAAAGCAAATACTGCCTTTTTAACCATCTTACAGTACATCCACATACAGTTATGCAATTGGAAACTGTGTTGAAACCTCTTGAATGACTGTGCAATAAACATAAATGGAGCCTCATTTAGGATCTTCCCTTGTCATCAAAAGTAAGGTAAATAATTCTAAATTTGCAATTTTGAGGAGACACAAACCATAATGCAATATAATATTAGATCACAATTTGCAACAAGTTTTAAGAATAGCTTCATCTATAAAAAGTGCCTTTATATCAGAAATGAGCTATTTTATTGATACTCACAGAAATAATTGAAAGGCTTGGGTTGGAAAAGAACTTAAAGGTCAAGCTGTTTCAACCGGTCTGCCACATGCAGGGATGTCACCTACCAGAGCAGGTTACTCAGGGTCCCATTCAACCTGGCCTTGAACACTTTCAGGGATGGGGGACAGGGAGAAATCTGATTTTTAATTATGCCTCAACATGTGTTATATATGAGGTGAAGGATTCCTGTAGGGGCTGTACACATGCTGGCAGCCCTGTCCTGAGGGAGGCTTTGCCTGGCAGCTGGTCAGGGGAGAGAAGGTTCCACAACTGGGCTGTGAGCAATCCCCCATCATTTATTGGTGGCGCAGATGCATGTAAGCCTGGGAAAAAATGTCAGGGAAATTGGGCTGTGGGAGGGACTTCAGCCCATACAAGCAGGTAATGCAACATAAGGGGACATTAGAATTCTTGGAGGGATCAGTGGTTCACTCAGAGGGTCAGCTTGACCACCTCCCTTCCCTCCCTGTTGATGACTTCCCTGCCCACACCTGCTCTGCCCTGCTTCACCATTCCCACAAACCAGCTCAGCGCTGCAGCCACTGGGTGTCTGCTGCTCCCAGACACCACAGCTCCACGCGCTGCGCTGCCTGCTGCCTCTGGGAAAAGTCACTCTGCCTCCGAGACTCAGAGGGTTTTCTGCTAAGAGTTTAAATTAAGTAACTAATGTCCTTAATTAGAGGAGGGAAATGCTAATTAGATTCTTCAAAAATCATTTCGTAACTGAACAGAAGAAATCAATGGAAAATTCTGTAGAGAAGAAAGTAAAGCTGAAGGAGTTGATAATTGGACACCAATTTAGCTACTGGAGAACAAATGAACTTTTCAACACAGACAAGTAATCTAAAATTTCCCATATTAAACTAAGGAAAGGAAACTGAGGCAGACAGTTCATCAAATCACATTATCTTGACTATTTCCTCCTCCTCCAGAGTCTTCTCTGCAGTGACATCACCAAAAAAAACCTAAATCATAACAGTAAACCCCCACTGGCATCCACAACACCTAACCTAACATGCTGAAATGTGGATGCTGAGTTAGTGTGTTAGAACAATCAAATACAATCTGGAAACAGGTCTAATTCTGGGCCTGCTAAATCAAGGGATGGAGACTAAAATAGTCTGACATCAAACCACTTGGATTATTGCTGGAAATAAAAAGCTTCTCATTCTCTTTCATGTTGTGTCAGGAAACAATTTTTATCAACTTTCTCTCTGACTGGTTCAGAAAACCAGCTGGCAGCACTTTTCAAAGGAGAATGTTTCTGGACTGAAAAATCTAACCTGTGGAGGAAAAACACTTTTCAGAACATCTTTATTACCAAAGGATATGGAGAAAATATTTTTAATTATCTTAATCATAAACTAGCAAATGCAGCAATCAAGAATATGAGTCAAAGGATTCCAAAGACAAATATGGGGAAAAACAATTGTATCTTTCTGTACAATCCATCAGCATGTTTGATGTGATGCCACTTCTATATGAGAAATTGATTCTGTAATATAGTGCTAGGCTCCTCATAGAAACAAAGCAGACAACATCACTGATGATGTGAATAACAGGTTTACAACACGTGACAAAATAAGTGACAGGTAAGGGCAGATGCCTAAGCTTTAAAATGACTTACATTTTTCACCAAATGCAAACAGCTTGAATCCTTAACTACAGTGACTCCCCATTTGTGGAAGGTGGAGTCTCTAAGCAGGAAGGAGTGAGAAATAAGCACAGTGCTCTATACACACATTGCCCTAAGGCTTACAACTTAGAAGAGAAATTCAGGTTTTGTATCAGACTGACACTAATCTAGTTCATCAAATTGACATCAAATAGTAAATGGCTTCAACTTAAGTTACAGGCTTTGTATGCAAGTCTGCCTGCCTGTTATCTCACCAAGTGAAAATGAGATGTTCTTTCTTTACATTCATTCAAAGTTGCACACTGTAATAAAAAAAAAAAAAAAAAAAAAAAAAAAATCAAAGTCTGACAAGTTCTGAAAGTCTTCCAGATACGGATGATTCATTCCCTTTCCTCTGAGGTTGATACCTGGAGATAGATTTTTGCATGCCTGTAACAACTCCTAGTGATTTTCAGAAGAAAAGAAAGACAATGGGTCTTACACCTCTAATACAACAAACAGCAATTAATGACTGATATAAGTTGGGTTAATTCTTCTGAGC